CACCCCCTTGCACCCACGCCGTCCGCAGCCGTCCGCGCAGTTCTCCGCACCCATTTGCCGTCCGCAGCCGTCCGCGCAGCCAAGGTCGCTCATCACCAGCGGCTTCTTCTCCCCACCTATTTCCAGCCACTCCGTTGCACCCACGCCGTCCGCAGCCGTCCACGCAGTTCTCCGCACCCATTTGCCGTCTGCAGCCGTCCGCGCAGCCAAGGTCGCTCATCACCAGCGGCTTCTTCTCCCCACCCATTTCCAGCCACCCCCTTGCACCCACGCCGTCCGCAGCCGTCCGCGCAGTTCTCCGCACCCATTTGCGTCCGCAGCCGTCCGCTCAGCCAAGCTCGCTCATCACCAGCGGCTTCTTCTCCCCCACCCATTTCCAGCCACTCCGTTGCACCCACGCCGTCCGCAGCCGTCCACGCAGTTCTCCGCACCCATTTGGCCGTCCGCAGCCCGTCCGCGCACCAAGGTCGCTCATCACCAGCGGCTTCTTCTTCTCCCCCCACCTCATTTCCCGCCACTCCGCCGTTGCAACAAACACACCCACGCCGTCTGCAGCCGTCCCGTAAAGGTTCCTCCGCACCCATTTGCCGTCCGCAGGCACGTCCGACGCAGCCAAGGTCGCTCATCACCAGCGCTTCTTCCTCTCTCCCACCCTTTCCAGCCACCCCCTTGCACCCACGCCGTCCGCAGCCGTCCGCGCAGTTCTCCGCACACATTTGCCGTCCGCAGCCGTCCGCGCAGCCAAGGTCGCTCATCACCAGCGGCTTCTTCTCCCCACCCATTTCCAGCCACTCCGTTGCATCCACGCCGTCCGCAGCCGTCCACGCAGTTCTCCGCACCCATTTGCCGGCAGCCGTCCGCTCCATTCCTTTCCCTTCCTTTCCCATCCTTTTCCGTTCCTTTCCCATCCTTTCCCTTCCTTTCCCTTCCTTTCCCATCCTTTTCCGTTCCTTTCCTATCCTTTCCCTTCCTTTTCCTTCCTTTCCCTTCCTTTCCCTTCCTTTCCCTTCCCTTTTCCTTCCTTTCCCATCCTTTCCCTTCCTTTCCCATCCTTTCCCTTCCTTTCCCTTCCTTTCCCTTCCTTTCCCTTCCTTTCCTTTCCTTTCCCTTCCTTTCCCTTCCCTTTTCCTTCCTTTCCCATCCTTTCCCTTCCTTTCCCTTCCTGTCCCTTCCTTTCCCTTCCTGTCCCTTCCTTTCCCATCCTTTCCCTTCCTTTCCCTTCTCCCCACCCATTTCCAGCCACTCCGTTGCACCCACGCCGTCCGCAGCCATCCGCGCAGTTCTCCGCACCCATTTGCCGTCCGCAGCCGTCCGCGCAGCCAAGGTCGCTCATCACCAGCGGCTTCTTCTCCCCACACATTTCCAGCCACCCCCTTGCACCCACGCCGTCCGCAGCCGTTCGCGCAGTTCTCCGCACCCATTTGCCGTCCGCGCAGCCAAGGTCGCTCATCACCAGCGGCTTCTTCTCCCCACCCATTTCCAGCCACTCCGTTGCACCCACGCCGTCCGCAGTCGTCCACGCAGTTCTCCGCACCCATTTGCCGTCCGCAGCCGCGCGCGCAGCCAAGGTCGCTCATCACCAGCGGCTTCTTCTCCCCACCCATTTCCAGCCACCCCCTTGCACCCACGCCGTCCGCAGCCGTCCGCGCAGTTCTCCGCACCCATTTGCCGTCCGCAGCCGTCCGCGCAGCCAAGGTCGCTCATCACCAGCGGCTTCTTCTCCCCACCCATTTCCAGCCACCCCCTTGCACCCACGCCGTCCGCAGCCGTCCGCGCAGTTCGCCGCACCCATTTGCCGTCCGCAGCCGTCCGCGCAGCCAAGTTGGTCGCTCATCACCAGCGGCTTCTTCTCCCCACCCATTTCTGCAGCCACTCCGTTGCACCCACGCCGTCCGCAGCCGTCCACGCAGTTCTCCGCACCCATTCCCCGTCCGCAGCCGTCCGCGCAGCCAAGGTCGCTCATCACCAGCGGCTTCTTCTCTCCACCCATTTCCAGCCACCCCCTTGCACCCACGCCGTCCGCAGCCGTCCGCGCAGTTCTCCGCACCCATTTGCCGTCCGCAGCCGTCCGCGCAGCCAAGGTCGCTCATCACCAGCGGCTTCTTCCCTTTTCCTTCCTTTCCCATCCTTTCCCATTCCTTTCCCTTCCTGTCCCTTCCTTTCCCTTCCTGTCCCTTCCTTTCCCATCCTTCCCCTTCCTTTCCCTTCTCCCCACCCATTTCCAGCCACTCCGTTGCACCCACGCCGTCCGCAGCCATCCGCGCAGTTCTCCGCACCCATTTGCCGTCCGCAGCCGTCCGCGCAGCCAAGGTCGCTCATCACCAGCGGCTTCTTCCCTTTTCCTTCCTTTCCCATCCTTTCCCTTCCTTTCCCTTCCTGTCCCTTCCTTTCCCTTCCTGTCCCTTCCTTTCCCGTCCTTTCCCTTCCTTTCCCTTCTCCCCACCCATTTCCAGCCACTCCGTTGCACCCACGCCGTCCGCAGCCATCCGCGCTGTTCTCCGCACCCATCCACGCAGTTCTCCGCACCGTCCGCAGCCGTCCGCGCAGCTAAGGTCGCTCATCACCAGCGGCTTCTTCTCCCCACCCATTTCCAGCCACTCCGTTGCACCCACGCCGTCCGCAGCCGTCCGCGCAGTTCTCCGCACCCATTCCCCGTCCGCAGCCGTCCGCGCAGCCAAGCTCGCTCATCCCCAGCGGCTTCTTCTCCCCACCCATTTCCAGCCACTCCCTTGCACCCAGGCCGTCCGCAGCCGTCCGCTCCATTCCTTTCCCTTCCTTTCCCATCCTTTTCCGTTCCTTTCCCATCCTTTCCCTTCCTTTCCCTTCCTTTACCATCCTTTCCCTTCCTTTCCCTTCCTTTCCCTTCCTTTCCCTTCCTTTCCCTTCCTTTCCCTTCCCTTTTCCTTCCTTTCCCATCCTTTCCCTTCCTTTCCCTTCCTTCCTTTCCCATCCTTTCCCTTCCTTTCCCTTCCTTTCCCTTCCTTTCCCTTCCTTTCCCTTCCTTTCCCTTCCTTTCCCTTCCTTTCCCTTCCTTTCCTTCCTTTCCTTCCTTCCTTTTTCCTTCGTTTCCCTTCCTTTTTCCTTCGTTTCCCTTCCTTTCCCTTCCTTTCCCTTCCTGTCCCTTCCTTTCCCTTCCTGTCCCTTCCTTTCCCTTCCTTTCCCTTCCTTTCCCTTCCTTTCCCTTCCTTTCCCTTCCTTTCCTTTCCCTTCCTTTCCTTTCCTTTCCTTTCCTTTCCTTTCCCTTGCACCCACGCCGTCCGCACACCACCGTTCGAGCCAGGTCGCTCCCCCACGCGGTTAAACAACTAAACGAGAACCCAAGCATCGAAGATGCTTTTGGGAAAAAAACAATGCGCTGAAACAGTTTGTGATGTGTGATTCTTTGTGTTGATTGGTCGGTGGTTTCCCATCTCTTGAAGGTCTTGGACAACTTCAATTATCCGTCCCGGTGGGACTGGGGCTGCACAAACTGTGGGGCGGCTACTCGGCAGTATCATGACAACTTCAAAAACAGCTGTGAGGGCACTCTGTCCAGATCTGTGCAGATTTGGAAATCCTTCATTTTTAGCCGCAAACATCCTCGCGTTCGCTGGTAGGGCTGTTTATGAAAAGCTTGTTGGTTGAAGGCTTGGCTTAGCTACATTCGCCACATGCATGTACAAGATGTAAAAGAATCTAAAGGAGATTGTAAGATGTGCGTGTTGATGCGCCTTGGTATTTGCAAATGCTTGTGGTGTAATGTGTTTTTTTGAAGTTCCACGTGACTTTGTCGCAGCTTCAGCTCCAGCGACCTTAGGCTATGTGTGGCTACCAGCAAGCGGCCCAGCGTCCAAAGAATGTGATGCTTTTACATTGGGTCCTGTGGCCACACACCATAGACCTATATCTATATATATATATCTATATATAGTGTATATATATATATAATATACTCGTACAATAAAATATAGTACATATACAGATTACATGACACATAATATATTATGGACATTAAGGTATTGATTGCATTACATACGCATACTGGATTCGATATAGCAACCAAGTCTCACAGCGGAAGGCCGGAACTCAATGGAAACTGAGGTGGCGTTGTTCGAATTGCAATGCCGAGCGGCCAGGCGATTAGGGATTGCTTGAGCAGATTTGGAGAATCATGACAGTATATGACAGTAGAACATAGTAGACATAGTAGAACTTGGCGCATCTTGGCGCACATGAATGGATGGGTCATGTCTCATTGTTTTGAGATGTTTTCAGAGCATCCTGCTTGTTGGGAGGAGAGTGCTTTTGCAACAGTCTCTAGGCATCAGTGCCAAGAAGCGTCAACTTCTGAGATGTTGGCCACATCCGTCCTACTTCCAGTGATCTTGATTATCCTTGCCCAAAAGCATCCAATAGTGTTTTGGCTCGAAAAGTGTGCACCCTATTCCAAACTCGAAGATGGGCTGTAGCTGCTCGTTTGCATTTCGGAGAGTTGTCCAACTCTTTCGAATGTCAGCACACTTGCCTCACAACCAGTTGAAACGGCATGCTCACGCCTATTTTCAGCAAACTGCGCTCAAGTGCAGCCATGCTATAAGATTTATCAAGATTTGACATGCACTGCCTGGAAGCAATCCAAAGTCGCTTTGCAAATTTTGCTGGCTGGAATGAATTCGCCAGCTGCATCAAGGAGGCATTGAGTGACATGCCCATTCCAATCTCCCGAGAATGCGGCCTCGGTCAGGCTCCAGCAAGGATGACAGATCGACCTACAGCAAGGTACAGACGAAGAACGTTTCAGAAACTCCAAGTCACACAGCTGCAGTGTCCCATGCGTCATTAGGTTTTCATGGCAATAGTATTCATGTACAAATTATATTATAATATGTATATTCATGTTATGTGACGTGATGTGTAGTGCATGGAACAAAGCAACTCAGGTGATGTCAGAAACAATGACGCACAGCCTGCTCACAATCCGTCATCGCCAGTCAGATCCTCAAATGACGAATTCACCTCAATATTGCGAGAAGAGTGACCCTGACTTGAGCGCTGAGGATCCGAAGGATTTCAAAGTGGCCCCAGTCAGAACCTCGAAAACGCGCAGTTAGGACATCATGTTATAATATTTTAATATATATATATATATATATTTTTATACTTGATTCATCTTGATTCAATGATTTACTTGCCTGACTTTGTGCAGAATCCGTCGGTGAAGCCACGGCGGCAGCTCAAGGTAGAAGACGCTCCACCAGCACAACTTGCTGACAGCTCTCCAACTTCGGCAACGCCAGCAACTGCCTTGCTTCCAAAGGACCTTGCAGCCATTCATGATCATGCGCACATTTTGTATCATTTTGTGTCACCACGCTTGAACCGACCCGACAATGAATGGACACAGAAAAACCCCAAATCACAGGACTTGAATGGGCTTCAGCTTGACGGGTTTGTCATGTTTCTCATTGTTTCATATTGTGTCTTATTATTTCACACACTCTGCAGGACCCTGAACTCGGCGAGGTAGAGGAGGAACCTTTGGACAGTCCGCAGCCCTGGGGACGCTTCATGGCGTGCCTTGGAAGCCTTAGACATTCTTGGACAGTGGTTCCCAATCGTTCCGAAATGCTCCGAAGTCAATCCTGATCAGGTCAACAATTTGTTTCTTCCGACGTGTTCCAAACGATGCCTTTGTTTTGCTCTAGTGAAAGCTATTACACTCCAAAAAGATCCAAACATTTGATATTCATTTGATTATATAAATAAATTGTATATTATGACATATGAATTGTATATGACTACATTGACTATATACATATTATATTATACATCTCATTATTGCACGATTTGTATGGAACTTGCTTCGTTGATCTCCGTTGTCAATTCGATGATAATTGCAGACTGGTGCTCTTGCTGCGACCTGTTGCGACATCACTTTCATCGGGCAGGCTACACATAGATTCCATAGCGGGTGATTTTCCGGGGTCACACCCAATTCCAATTTTGCCATGTGCATTGCAAAAGCAACATGGATGCTTGAAGACATAGTGACAAAATGCTTGAGGACATGTTGATTTGTCTTACATATACAAGTAGAACCCGCGCAAGGCAGGTGGCGGAAGTTTCCAGGTCTAAGAACTGTGACGCTATAGGATCCAAAGACAAAGTTTGCCTATAGGAGATGCAGCAGACCCTCACAGCTTCTCAACTCTGTTCTGCGAATTCGTCGTCATTTTGCGTCACCCCTTTTCAATTGTGACCATCACTTCCCAACTCTTCTCAGACCATCTCAGCTCTTCTTATCAAAGTTGTTCCATCTCTTCCCACCTCAGCTCAACTCTTTTCACCTCTTCCCTGCTCTTGTCAACTCTTCTCAACGACTCACCTCTGCCCACCTCGTCTTAACTCTTCTCAACTCTTCTCAACTCCGCTCAACTCATATCACCTCTTTCTCAGCTCATCTCAACTCTTCTCACCTTCTCAACTCTGGCCAACTCTTCTCGACTCTAAGCTTTTACACGGAGAAGATCGGAGAAGCATTTACACACAGCAAGCTCTTACACACAGAAGCTTTTACACACAGCAAGCCTTTACACAGAGAAGTTTTTACACAAAGCAAGCTTTTGCACAGAGAATCTTTTACACACAGCAAGCCTTTATACAGAGAAGCTGCTACACAGGATGCGCCAAAATCAGAAATACCTGCTGCACACTGGTGCAAAAGACATTAAAAGTATTGTGCACGCAGCCGCAGCAGCGAGGAACCTGGATGCAGCCATTCCACTGCGACCAGCAGAGACCGAGTTGCAAAACACAATAGAATTACGCACAATGGCTACACAAATTGCAGCTCCAAACCCGGATCTCGACGCCCAAGCGGAAAAACGACGATTTAGAAGCACTTTTGAAAAGGAATTTTAAAAGGAAATGATCAGCACGTTGAATTTCCACATCAAAAGTGGACATTCATGATGGCTTTCTCCACCATGTGCATATCATATGTCAGCTGGTGACCCTTAAGACCAGCGCGTCACTTCACCAGAGGCAATCTTTAAGTGATTGTGCTCAGTGGAGTGGGTGGGCACAATCTTCTTTAGAAGGGAGTTTGTTCCAAAATCTACTGGTTATCAGCCGCATGGCTCTAAGAGACCATTCTACCATCCTGCCCTGCGCCAACTAAGTGGTGTAAACGGAGGATGAGCCCTTGCAAGGCAAGGGGGGTGCCGGCTGCGTGTGCAAAGTGTGGCGCCAAACATGAGGGCCGGTGGCTCACACCCTCAGGCCACACGTGCATGCACATGATCCCAAAAGAGGGGGGAGTGGAATTTCCACATCAAAAGTGGACATTCATGATGGCTTTCTCCACCATGTGCATATCATATGTCAGCTGGTGACCCTTAAGACCAGCGCGTCACTTCACCAGAGGCAATCTTTAATATGATTGTGCTCAGTGGAGCGGGTGGGTACAATCTTCTTTAGAAGGAGTTTGTTCCAAAATCTACTATGATCAGCACCAAAATGAGAAAAAAATCTGCTGCCATCACAACTTTCATGCTGCCAGTACAATGCGATTTACGACCCTCAGCTGGAAAACACAATAGTATGACACACGCACCCACAGCAGCAAGGAACCTTGACGCAGCCATTCCATTGCGATCTGCAAAGACTAAATTGCACAACACAATAGAATTGCCAATAGCCACTTGCAAACCACAATCAAAATCGCAAGACACTACTGGAGACCAAGTACCTTTCAAGACACCCTGTCGCAGCCATTCCATTGCGATCTGCAGACACAGACTTGAAAAAGACAATAGAAATCCAACACACTACTGTAGAACACATCGCTGTGATGCAGCAGTTCCAATGCACAAAGTGCCTCTGCCCTACTCTGTTCTGCTCTACACTAGTTTGCTCTACTCTACTCTTATCTTCTCTACTGCTACTCTGCTCTACTTCTACCTCTACGCTTCTCTTCTCTAGTCTTCTATGCTCTTTAGTCTTCTCTACTCTACCTCTACTCTGCCTCTAGTCCACCTCTACTACCTCTATCCTACCTCTTCCCAAGTGCCCACTGGACACAATGATCTCTGGGCTAGTGAGAATGTGACTTCATGGTCTCTTAAGTTACACGCCAACTGGACACAATGATCCTTCGGCTAGTGAGAATGTGAAACTCCGTAACTCGGAGTTTCCTCTATGAATTTTCCTTTGGTTATACACATAGAGATACAGAGTTGCATTTTATTATTGCATATTATAGCCATGTTTGATAGGTAAAGTTGGCACTTCATGTTTTTTGCAGTAAAGTGTTTGTTGTGGCCGCTAAGGTTGTGGGTTTGCTGGGAGCTCAGTGCTGCGCCAACGAGTCCCTTCTCATTTTGTCCTGCTTCGGCCCATTTGTTGATGACATGTGCTGACCAATCAAGTTGTCAAACATGATGAAACTGGCAAACCATAGCAACATCATGTAACTCCAACTGAGCCTCAACTGTGCATACATGTGCGACATAGTGCGACGCCAGTGTCAACCCAGTGCAGGCTGCACACTGGCCTCTGGCATTCTGCCAGGCCAGGCTCTATTTGTGCCTCTTGGCCGGGAGATACCACACAATCTGTACACAACTGTACCAATCTATGTATTCTATGTGCTGCTATATTAGAGTTGATATGAGTTGTGTGCTACATTGCCTACATGCTACCAATGATACTTAGCTACTTGCTGTACCGTGTGCTACGCGTATCTTTCATTTTGCATGTGTGAGGAGCTGCGCTTCATTGCATTGGAAGAAAACATCTGCAGAAATCTGCATGAAATTCAAGGAAACGTCCTGTTCCTTGAGCTCCTCTCCTTGGTGTGTGGATGTGTGTGCGTGTGTGGCAGTAACTGGTAGTAACGTGTAGCAACTGCAAGAGTCACGGACGAGAGCGCGCTCGCCGTGATAACGTCAAAAGTTACTTGAGATATTTTAGATTCCTTTTGCGAAAGAAAGGTTGGTCCTTCGCAGAGAGCAAATGACAGCAGACGATTAAAGTACAGCAGCATTTCTCTGCCCGCCTAGAATCGCCGCAATTGAACAGATGCTCAGACAGCTGGGCACAGAAGTCCAGCTTAGTAGCAACTACGCACAAAGAT